AATGAGAGAATGAGAGAATGAGCGAGAGAGAGAGAGAGAGAGAGAGAGAGAGAGAGAGGGGGAGGAGAGAGAGAGACAGACAGACTGAGAGAGGGAGGGGGTAGATAGATAAAAGAGTGATCGAGAAGAAAGAAATGGAGAGTGGTAAAACATCAAAATAAGCTAGCACTAAGCATGCATACATTAGCACGAGGAGCAGTGAGCGGGCATTGCGCGGGGTGACGAGAGGGAGGGCGAGGGGGAAGGTGGGGTGACGAGGGGGAGGGTGAGGGGGAAGGAGGGGTAACGAGGGGGAGGGTGAGGGGGAAGGAGGGGTGACGAGGGGAAGGGTGAGGGGGAAGGAGGGGTGACGAGGGGGAGAGGAGGAGGGGAGTAGACTGACGAGAGGAGGGGAAGGAGGGGTGACGAGGGGGAGAGGAGGAGGGGAGTAGACTGACGAGAGGAGGGGAAGGAGGGGTGACGAGGGGGAGAGGAGGAGGGGAGTAGACTGACGAGAGGAGGGGAGTGGGGTGTGAGGCTGTGAAGAGCGTGTGTGCTCTAAGCTATGTGAGAGAGATGGGCTAACGCTTCATTAGGAGTGTTCCCAACATTGATATCATTAATGATTAATGATTGATAATTCTAACCCTAACCCTGACCCTAACCTAAATGACATTAAACAACAAACTAATATATGACCATTACAGTTGGGAACACTCCTAATGGAGTATCACCCGAGAGAGGCGAGCATGCATCAGCGAACCAGCATCATGCGATGGTGCTATTGCTGTTATTCAACGTTCGAACACGAGCTCTCATCTTGCGGTTTCGCCTCTCATAAACACCCCCCCCCCTCTACGCCAAGATTCCTCACCTCCGCCCCACCTCCTCTCTACCCTTCCCCTCTACGCCAAGATTCTTCACCTCCGCCCCACCTCCTCTCTACCCTTCCCCTCTACGCCAAGATTCTTCACCTCCGCCCCACCTCCTCTCTACCCTTCCCCTGCTGCCCCCTCCCCCTTTCCTCCTTTCCATCATCCCCTACTGACCACACACTGCCGGGCCAGCTACTGTTTCGCAATTGACAGACAAATTTGGACATATTTCGGGCGCGTGTTGGCCCCATCGTCTGCGGCTGTTGCTGCTGCTGCTGTTTGGCATGCCATCGGCTGCCGCTGATTCACTACTACGTACTGCTGCTGCTGCTGCGAGCAGACGAGCAGAAACGTCGGGTCGTATCGCGTTGCAGAGCTGCTGCGGGTTTGTACGTACCGTGCTGATGCGTCATGCACCACAGCAGATCTCTCTCTCTCTCTCTCTCTCTCTCTCTCTC